TTTTAGCCTAATATTATATATGATGTAAATATTTGGTGATTTTTGTGGTGATGGGCTAAAATACTAATATGAGTGAAAAAAGTGTTGTATATATGCGGTAATAATGTATATGTAATGTATTATATGGCAACAAAGGCCAACTGGTGTATGTGGTGTTGATTTTATGTTTTGGCCATATTGGGTGAAACCAGCATCAAGTGGCTAAATTTTGGATTTGGTATGTTTTTGTATGTTTGATTGCTCAATCAGGTGTATTTTGATCTATTGGACTTGGTACTTAGGTTGGGTCATTTTAAAAAATAAATTTTGCATCTAAATGTCTAAAATTCTCATACGGTGTTGGATAGTAACAAAACTTACATCATTAGTTAGCTTATTGGATAAGCTTCGTGTGAGCACTTGAATCACTCCAATCGGACATCAAATGTAAAAGTGGTGCTCGTTCGAAGTTCGTCTTGAAAAGCTATCATAACAGCATTTTGTTGTCATGACAAGGACACGTGCACTGCGGCACATTGCTCACAAGCCACGGTGCATGGTACAGTAGCCAAATTGGCCTCTCTGTGACACATGCTGTGATGCATGGACCACGAGCCCGGTGCATGTACTAGAATACTCAAAAATGATATTTTAACCTTATTTTCAAGTGTTTTGCTTCCTAAAACTTTTCCATGCTTCCTATATCTTTATAAACCATTAAGTTTGAGCTTAAACTACTTATTTGAAAGGTTTTTATGGGATCCCAAATATTCTAAATTATTTATAAAGGTTTCTCTTTTGTATTTTACTATGAACTTAGGAGTAATCTATAACTCCTAATTATGATTATTTGTTGTGATTATGTGGTGAATTTTGGTAATGTCAAGGTAGATATTACACAAGATATTGCCAGTCACTCTACTTTCATCTCTAAAATTGAGCCAAAGACCATAAAAGAAGCTCTATTTGATTCACAATGGATAGATTCTATGCAAGAGGAGCTTAATCAATTTGAGAGAAGCAAAGTTTAGGATTTGGTGCTAAGAATTATTGGAACAAAATTGTTCTTTAAGAACAAAGTTGATGGAGGAGGAATCATAGTCAAAAACAAAGTTCATTTGGTGGCCAATGGATGCTAGTAAGAAGAAAGAATAGACTACAACGAGACTTTTTCTCTAAGTGAAGGACATCAAACTAGACCAATGGATATGAAGAGTACATTTCTCAATGGGTACATCCTTGAAAAACTATATGTTGAACAACCACTTGGTTTTGAAGATTTGCAAAAGCAAAATGTTGTATTCAAGCTCAAGAAGGCACTTTTTGTAGCAGGCATCAAAAGCATGATATGACTAATTGAGCTCTTTTCTCTTAGAATAGGGTTTCAATCGAGGTAAGTAGATGTTACCCTCTTTATTAAAAGAAAAAAAATCATCTTCTAATTGTTCAAATTTATATTGATGATATAATATTCAGTGCTACTGACAAATCTCTCTATAAAGAATTTGCTGAGTTAATGCTGGGAGAATTTGAAATGTACATGATTGGGGAGCTAAACTTCTTCTTGGGGTCTGCAAATCCAGCAAAGGAACGATGCATTTTCATTTATGAAGACAAACATAGAGAAGAGAGTTATTGCACGATCATAAGCATTCAATTCTTTACCAACCTTCTGCTATTGTATTCATTGCTATTAAAATTCATTATTTGTATATCCACTCTTAAAGAGAGTTTTTGATAGTAGTAATTCATTCTTGAACTTACTCTATCTATCCCTATGTTTCACTATTTGAAACAAAGGATTTAAGAAAATTGGAGAAAATTGGGGAGCTTAATGGGCTTTATTCATTACCTTTATAAAGGGGAGTGAATTGCACGTGAAGTCTAGAATTGTACTAAGGCAACGAAAAGCTCAGTTTAATCTTGGTAGAGTAAGTAGAGAAAATCTTAAGTGGTTGAAGCTGAACCAAAATAAACATGCGTGCATTGCTGCTTTCCTTCACTCTCAATATCTTTGGTGATATTGTTCCTTAACTTATCTCTTTTATTATGCAAAATTTGTTAAAATTTTACTTAGCCCTATTCACCCCCTCTTAGGCACATATACAACTCATTCACATTGCTCTCTTGTTGTGGGTGAGAACTTTCTTTCTCTATTATGTTTTGGTGATCGGTGTTGTTGTGGTGTGATGAAATTATGAATTGAGTATTGTTGCCCATCCTTTTATCATGTGCATATGACGTGTGTGGGAGAAACTATTGTGGCTCCTAAATGAAGTGTGATTAAATCTGCTAAAGTGCTGGCCACATGACTTGTTGCTTGGATAAAAGAGAAGACGGTGGAAGTAATTGGAATGAATTGATTGAAATAGCTTATGATTATAAGTATTGAAATCTTTAATAAGATGATAGGCCAAGTGAACGTTGCTGAACATGAATCTTAATCAAATGAACTAATGGCCAGCACGTAAGGTGTTTGATTAAATGCTTGATAGAAGAGATTTTTGTTGTAACATTGATAATTAAATTATATGGAAGGTAATTATTCTCCTTGAGGAAAGTTGGAATTGGAATTAGAGATTTTTGGGAGAATATGATGAATTTAATTATAGGTGTTTTGAAATTTTTTGATAAGGAAAAAAAAAAGCCTTATTAAATAGTTTGGAAATGATATGCACGCAAGATGTTTGACATAAAGCCTAAGAAGATGTCATAGCCCAAGTAAGTAGCTATGGCTGAAATATTGTAAAGAAATATTGGGATGGAAATGGAGGTGAATTAATGAACTTTGAATTTCTTATGTTGATTTTGATTATATGAATGTTGAAAGGGAATTTGTTTTATTTGAACAAAAGCAATTAAAATTTCTTTATATATATATATAAATATATATTATAATAGGACACTTGGAGGAAGAGCAATTTGAAAGGAATTGTAAGAAGTAAATTTTTTATTTTAGATACACATTAGGCTAGTGGATGGCATCCCAAACAACTCCTTAACAATTCTTTCATTTTAAATATTAGCTAATTGTATTTACATACAGTTATAATTCCAATGTTGGTAATGGAAACACTCCATTATATAGCCTGAAGCTCTTGGTGCTTCAAGATGTTGGTTTTATCAAGTTATGTTTGGTGGGAATTCTCTAAAATCTTCTACCAAATGGAAGATCTTTGCATTTCTTGCATGTGTGTTTAAATTCAATTGAAATTGATGAAGCTGACCTGGTGCTTAAGTACTGTTGATTTTTATTTCTCCACTATTAATTAAAAGAAGTTCTCCATTTTCTAATATGCGCTGCGAGTGCAAGAAAATTATTCCATTATGATGCTTAGAAAGCATTAGGTGTTTCTTGTGTTGAATGCAAAATTAGCTCCAATAATGAGTTGTGGTATAAAGGTCAATTAACGACTAAACTTTACTACAGATATAATATGATCTAGATATGTTGATATTTTCAACTCAAGAAGCCATTGAGAATAGAGTTTCACGTATACTTTTATTTCAGGGCTATTTCCTGATTCTAGTGTGGATGCCTATAAATTTGCATTGGCAACCAGAATACAGAATAACATTCTGTGGTGTGATGTCCAATTAACAAAAGAAAGAGCTAGAATTACTCTATGATTGATTATTCTTGTTATTTAATATAATAATGACAATGTATGATTTTATGACTTAATGAATGATTAGATGTTATGATTGATGTATTGAAAGATAGAAGAATTTCTCAAATGTATAATATGAAGGGTTATGTTGAAAATAGATAGAGGTATTCTTTCACTAAGTACCTTATTCATTGAATATAGTGTTAATGATTGATTTTATAGTTTGAGAAAGGATTAATTGTTATGATTCATGCATGGGAGATTATAGATGAATTGTTTTATTATGATTATGATATGAAGAGATAGAAATATTGATTTTTATAGGCCCATGCATGCTTGATTTAAATTGTGAAAATAAATCAGAAAGTTGGTCGCTAACGATAGTTCCGTTAGCCCTTGGAGTGCCATGACTAAATCCTAGTTAGCTTGGTAATCAGAAGTATCGCATCCACGCTTGTTATTCAAGAGCATTGTACTCACGCTTGCTATCTAGAGGTTTTGTACTTCTGCTTGTTTCATGGCTTCTAGCCACACTTGATTATTTCGTGGCTTCCAACCATAATTATTAGTTATTTACGCTTATGAACTATGTATCTACATTTATTAGTTATTTATCCTCGTGCACTGTAATGTCCTTGCTTCATTAATTACTTGCTCTAGTGAACTATGTATCCATACTCGATTGGTTACTTGTCCTCATGGACTATATATCCATGCTTGAATGTTTATTTACTCTCTTAGACTTTGTGTCCACTCTTATCAATCATTCAAATGAAATCCTACTAAAAATTGAGTTTTGAAATTTAGTGATTATTGAAGATGATATTAGTTAAATGAGCTGTACTTTTTCATTTATGGATTTTGAAATGAGTGTTATATATATATAATTCCTAGTTGTTATAGCAAGATATCATAGCCAAAAGGAGAAACTCGAAAGTTGTGTCATCATTATTTCAATTCATATGTACATGATTTATATGTTTGCGTAGAATCATGTGAACTATGAGGTATGGGTTTCTAATTTTCCTTCAATGGATTTTTTTTAATTCTTAATTGCATCATTAGTGGACATTCTCTTTATTTACCTTAATTTTAATTTGAATATTATTTACTGAAAATTGTTTTTCATCTCAGATACTTTAGTTGATATTGTACCTTCAGCTGATCATTGAGTTGCCCTTTACTAAATTGTGACTAACCTACTTTTGATGTAAATTATCAATCCTAGAGGGCCAACTCATTTATTGTTAAGCTTGTTACAACTAGTCCATTATGTTAGATTGCGAAACACTATACTTTCATGAGAAATACAGGCAATTAGAAACCTTGCTATATTCACCAATTTTATTGGACTTTTTCATGAATATATGCAATTAGAAGTAAATTATTAGACATGAGATATACCGAGCCTTCATGATTAAGAATTTTAGATAATAACGAGAAACGGATCATAGATAACAAGGTCATTTACAATAATTGGGTGTTCTATCAAAACTCTTGACCTTTTCCTATGAGCCACAACCAATCAAGAGAAACTCCAGCAAACAAACCAATCAAGAGAAATAGAACAAGCAAATTGCCCAATGCATTCTGCTCAGGACCCTGCAAAACCATCAAAAAAGAATAATATAATCTTGTCGTATGAGATTTGGCATAAAATATTAAGTAAAAAGCGCATGAAAGTTCATAAATATTTGTGCTGATTATGACTCGTTTATTTAGTACTTAAATTTTCATTTTAATTTGAATATAACGTTTTCTACTAATGAGTCATAAAGCAAAAAATTATATTCAAATAACAACATAATGGAAGACTCTTATGTTACAATTCGTTACGAACAGCATTAGCAATAACCAAAATGAATCCAGTGGTCAAGTTCAGATAATGCTCTCAAAGTTAGATCAAACGATGATCAACAAGTGAAAATTAAACTTGTCAGAATTAGTAAAAATCGACCAAATGAATCTATTATGCACGATTTGACCAGAGTCAAACAGATGAATGCTTGAGCTTGTATTCTTATTGATATTGATATAACTGATCCAATTTTAAAAACATTCACAAGTAATTTATCAACCTTGATCATATATTATCAAGGGTTAGTTAAATGAACTGACCTCATAGCCTTTGGGTGCAACAGTGAGGACACAAACAGTGAGATAGCCATTGGTTAATCCCAAGAAAGAAACGAGGAGGATCATCCATCCTTGGTCGCCATATTTTGCAGTGAAGTAGAAAGCTGGGATCAACAAGAACCGAGCAAGAATTGAAATCAGCAAGCCTTTTCTTGATTCCATCTTCAGACATTGGATTAGAGGAACGTATCTAGATATCAGATCCAGCACGTTGTACATTGCGATCAGAACAAGAGGGTACCTAGAAATTAAATTTCACCACATATGTCAAGAAAATTATTTTGATCTTCAAAACAAGTGTCACCATATAGTACTGTCTGTTCTGAAATCCAATGTTGGGTGGATGAGGCTCAAGTATAAACCCAATTATGAAATGGATCCTAAGATATGGAGAAAGTCTAGTCCTCAAGTGTAATAAAGCGGTGCTCTTGACTTTAATATTCCCTCTTTCAAAGTTATGGGAGGGAACAGTAAACACTCATTCATGCATGTCTGAAAACCGTCTCATGCATGGGAGTTATATGCGTATAGGTGCATGAAACCAAATAATCACTTTGCATATATATTTTCCAGGAGAAAACTCCCTTCTTTCGCTCTCTTTTCTCTGTGTATTTAATATGTAGTTAGAACCAAGTTCTAAAGTGTAACTCTGTTCCAGCGTATCAAGAGTGCGATAGAATGGGCATGCCTCCTCTACTCACAGAAAAGATTATAGAGATGGAAATTATTAATCAAAGAGATTATTTTCTAGTAGAGGTTGCAATAGTGTTGCAGATAGGCTTTATAGATTGACTATATAGATATATATATATATGGAAGCTGTCCTATTCTAGTGGAGTTGGTGAACGTAGAGAAGGGAGGTTCTTCTAGTGTTTTTGTAAGAAGGAACTAATCTAGCTAGTGATCCAACCTTTACTATAAGCAAATTAATTAATTAATTAATTAAAAAAATCTAGAACATGGATTGATGGAGTAATTTTTCTTAAGGGCCAAAACTTTTTGTGCAGAAAGCAAGGTGTTCACACTAAAAAGAAAAAGTGCACAGGTGGCTTTTTTCCAGTGTTTTTGGAAAACATTATTGGTGTACGCCTTCGGGCGGCGTTTGACTCTAGACACAAGAAATGAGAAACGTAACGCTGCCTGTGCCGACGTTTAAGAACATGCCAGCAGTGTCGGCATCCCCATAGCCGGCATTTTTGGTGACATTTCATGCGTTTCCATAAATGCCGCCAAAGTAGTCAAAGCACATGTATCCGCAGCGTTTTCGCCGCAAATGCTACCAATGGCCCAAAAACACTAATAAATAAAGAAATTTTAGTGGTGTCATGGGAGCTCTTACCATTCTCCTAGCTGGTGTGATCCAGTATTTTCGTACAAGAATCCCGGGAAAATTGACAGTGTCAACACATATATCAAAAACAAGTCAGCTGCGTAATCAATGTTCTCAAGCAACAATTGCTTATGGCTCATACGCTCATGTTGTTTAGCTTCAGATGCAACCTACAAACACAAATTCGATAATCCTTCCGTCAGTATTAACAGGGGCGAAACCAGCGTGGATTTGGATGGGGGCCCAAATTTTTTTTTCAAAAATATGTACGTTGCTTTATAGTTTTTAAGTTTTTTAAAAACAATCTTATTATCTAAAAAATTCATAAGATGATATCTATTTTACATATTAGTTTTAAAAATATAAAGAATATATAAAAATTATATTTTTAATGTACTTTTATATTTCTTTATAAATTAATCATTTAAATAAAATAAATATTTAAATTTTTTAGACATCAATTTAAATTTTAATATAATTAAACAAACATTAACCAATACTATAAGCAATTAAAATAATAAAACATAAACTTATTCAATACTTTTAAATAAACTTATTTTATACTCCCTCCTACCTACAATATAATTAAGTTATAAGGTATAGGTAACAACTTTGCGGATAAAAAAAATTGGTTAAAGACTTATAAAATTTTAAAAATATGTTCATCTTTTCAACCGTACCATCATTAGTTCTATATAAATATTTTAATAATGACATTCATATTCAAATATATTATTTTTTTCAAAAGAAAAAATAAATAAAATAAGGATATAGTTGAAAAAGAATTTTGAAACTACCCAATACCTTATATATTTTATTAAGTAGGGCTTCTAAAACTATCCTATAATATAAATTGGAGGCAGTATATACTTAATGTACTAACAAAATAAGATATTATATATACATATATATATATATATATATATAATATGAACCCCATTAACCATGACAATCTACCCCTTGTTATGTATCAAAGTTGGACAGGTTGGAGGGGGGCAAGGCCCCCTTGAACTACTCTTAGGTCTTCCCCTGAGTATTAAAATTAAAAATAAATAAAAAAAACTTCAAATTTGGATTCCCTAGGGCCTCAATTATCAATTTTAGGTTAAAAGATATTAATTAATTGCCTTTAGAATTCTCTAAAATGCTTCACATATATTTGAAACTGAGGTAGTATTTTAGATATGATAAGATCACTCTACGTACTTGTCGGTTTGAGTCGGTCAGAATGCCAGCAGCAGCAAGATCTGCAGATACAGTTGTTGATCCTTCTGAGGCTGCTTTTGATCGGTAATACTTCACTATTGACAATTTGGGGAAATAGCGTGCATAGAGAATCACGCAGATGGACTCAAAGAATGTAGAGATCGCAAAGAATAGTACTGCAAAATCAATTTTAATGTCAACATAATGATGAATAATAGCTTCATATGGTAAGTTAATTATTGGACGCGACATGGTTAGTCATGATATAAATATACAGATCATATGCCACACTAAAACATTGCATAACTTTTTATTTGTTTCCAAAATATCATTGTTATTTATTTGATCCCCAAAAAAATAAAAAAAAGATAGATACAGGAGATGAGTCCAATTGTGGCACTCATATCTATATATATATATATTAAGAGTGGGCCTACTATTATGTGTCAGTCTCTCTATTCATTCCAAAAAAAAAAAAAAATTAAGATCTCGTCACACTTAGAGAATGCACGATCGATCGTTCGGATTGTCATCTAGTTAAGTGCATGATAGAAGAGTGCCTGATAAAATATGAGTTTGTGTCATTGTATGTAAAATACATATTATTTATGATACACTAGACAATGAAGAGTAACATACTAGCTCCTTTGCGAAGTCCGTTATGAGAATTCCCAAAAGCCCCTTTCGTGAGCAGTCTCAATCCAGAGGTCAGAACCCCCGACGCTGCTAACCCAGCAAAAAAAGACTGCAAAACGACATATCATGTATGAATGAAGTCCGACAAAACGACATCAAAGCTATAACAAGTCAAAGTCTCACAATTTAAAAAAAAAAATACTTTAATTATAATTTGTTTGTTATAAATAGACCAGGAGCGTAGTATCTCCTTATGTCAAAAACGAACCTGGATGAACTCAGGATGCATTAAAGATAGGTCTCCAACCATTCCACCTTGAACATGAGCATCAGCAACTCCAAAACAAGCAGAAATTGCACATAAACCTAAGTAGGGTCCTATTCCACCTCTTCCTGATGTTCCTAGATCCAACTACAGGCAACACAATTTTGTCGCATCGAAATTGTTCTTAATCGATGAGCAAATGAAAACCAACCAAAACATACTGATCATTAATCAATAAGAAATCAGTAATTAATTAATTCAAGACTAAAAGTACTTACAACAAGAACTAAGAAGGTGCTTGCAGCGAAGAGAATGTATCCTGCTATATTTCGCACCCTTGTGTTGATCTTGGCCTCATAGTGCACCAGAAATGACATTGTTACAAGTGCGAAGGGTTGGTAGACCAGAGTGAGTACCCTCGAGGGATGATATTTCTTAACAGTAAAAAAAAAAAAAAACATCTATTACAAGCTGTTCGATCAAAGGCTTTTATATTAACGTTGACACACACATACATGGGGAGAAGAAGGAATCGGGATGGAAAGCAATTTTTTTTTTTTTTATTGCTCTTATTCTGCTTTGGGAGCCTAGCGCTAGATACAACCCCCATTGGTGAGGAAGAGCAAATAAATTAATACCGTTTACTACGTTTATTCAATGCGCAAAAGTGTGTTTTTGAAAAACTACTTTTCATTGGGCCAAAAGCCCAAAACAATAATATTTAAAAGATGTTTGTGGGCTCAGGATGTTTGGTTTTTTTAAAGGGAAAATTACTTGTATTAATTCGTTACCTTTTTTTTTCGTTTTTTTGTTAATTCGTTTCTTTGATATTAACTCTTCATTACTTGTATCAAAAAAACAAACTCTTCATTACGTATTTATATATATATTAGCCTATTTTCTGACTAAATTATTAGAATAGATTTTATACAAAGTGATCAATAATGATCCTAAAATTGAGTAATTGCATGCATATAAATTTACTTTTTGTTTTAATATGAAATCTAATTGATGTCAAATATATATACATATATATTAATATTTTATATATATTAGCTTAATTTTACACAGATTGAAGATAATTTTGGTATTTGGTTTAAATTATCGGCATGCTATGTGACATATATAATCGATCGATCGATCAAACAACTAAACTCTTTTTTAATTATTATTTTTCAAAAAGAAGAAATTTTAAGAATAATAAATTCATGGAAAGAAAGTTTTAGAAGGAATTAGATTTAATATTTTGAAATCAAGAGATTTCAATTCAGTGAAGATCGGAAATAAGGATTTATATCTTTAATTTTTTATACTGCATTTCTTAAAAATATATATAATAAAATATTTTTCACATTTACTTTTATGAAATATTTTTTATATTTCAAAAAATTAAAATAATTCTAAATTCAATCATTCTAAATTCAAACCATTAACTCAATTCAAGTCTGCCCGTCTGAATGAGTTGAACTCGAAAGAATGCTTATTGTAATCTCGTAACACGGTAATAGTATATTTATGAATGGTTTTTTCAGATAAAAACAAAGGAAGAAGAAATGTTATGAATGATAAATTCATAGATATAAAGTTCTAGAGGAAATTAGATACAAATCTGTTCAAATTAAGAGATTTCAACTCAGTCGTGTTCTTAAATGAGTATTTATATGTTTAATTTTTTTATATTTTATTTTTAAAAGATATACTATATTTTTTTACAATTTAATACTTTTAATAAATAGTTTTTATATTTCAAAAAAATTAATGAATTGTGTAAATCCAATCAATGTAAATTGATAAAACCCTTGACTCAATTCAAGTCTCCGCCTAAGTGATTTGAACGCAGAAAGAATTCTTTTAGAAATTTCGCAATAATCATTTATGAATACTTTTGAAAAGCATTACTCATAATGTGTATACGAGAATTCATCCAAAAAAAGAAAGGAAAGGAAAGAAAGAAAATAGCGCATATTAGATGTTTTGAAATAACATTTAGACACTTATTTTACTGATTAGTTAAAAAGTCTCTCAAGAAAAGATTCAACGTATGCTGAATATTTAGCAGATAAATGCGCAAATGGGGGGATCAGAATCTTATTCTTACTCATATATTTCCAGATTTACCAAAATAATAATAATAATAATAATCAGCAATAATAATTTTTTACCCAAAAACAAGAAAATATTTGTTAATATATTTTCAAAAAGAAGATTTTTATGAATAAAAAATTCAAAAGTAGAAATTTCTAGAAGAAATTAGATTTAAATCTTTTCAAATTAAGAGATTTCAATTCAACCAAATTCTTCTAAAATGAGGATTGATATCTTTAATTTTTTATAATTTATTTTAAAAATATTTTTCAGATTTTTTTAAGAAATATTTTTTATAATTCACAAAATTAAATGAATTGTAAATCCAATCAATCTAAATTTAAAGCTTTGACTCAATTCAAATGTTCTCCCTCTAAAATGATTCGAACTTGAAAGAATACTTTTAGTAATCACGTAACAGTCATTTATGAATAGCTTTGAAAAGCATTACTCAAAATGTAGTATACGAGAATTCATCCAATTAAGAAACAAGAAAAACAACTAAGAAAGATAGAGTATATGAGATGTTTTGAAATAAGATTAAAAAAAAAAAAGCAGTCGCTTGCAATTATTTTGTTGATTAGTTAAAAAATCTCTCATTGACAGATTCATCATATGCCAAATATTTAGCAGATAAATGCAAAACTAATGGAATCAGAAGCTTATTTTTCTTCACATATTTTCAGATTTACCCTTGAAAAACAATCATGTTCTGTCTCTTCAATAATATTGAGGAATGAGCCTGTCTTTCTCCAGTGAAAAAGTTGAATCACACACACGCAAATATATATATATATATATATACAGAATAAATTAAATCTGTTAATGTTACCTACAGGAAAGATTTTGTAGTAGTAATCTCCTATTGTTAACATGCTGTTCCACGCAACAAGAGATCCCAATCCCAGAATGAAGCAAACTACCATGGCTTGCAATTTCCCCTGTTTGGTTTCAATTCCTTTCAATCCAAATTCTGCAGGGAAAGCAAATTCGATTCTTCTAATGAAACAAATTACTGTAATTAACATACCTCCTGCCTTCTGATTGGATCCCCACTTTCCACAGAGATCGTCATGTTTCTTTCACTTCACCTGAAGAAAATGGATGAATTCTCGCATGAGAAACCCCTTCTGGATGTAGAGAGAGAGAGAGAGAGAGAGAGAGAGAGAGAGATACCTCTTATAGGAGAATTTGAAACTCTCGTTTGATTCTAAAGTGAATTCCCAGAAGTTAAAGGATTTAGTAGAGAGAAAGACCACAAGTCAAATCGAGAAATTATTGAATGAGTTGAAAATATGGAGTAAGAGCTGAAATTACGCAAGAGGCTGATAGCGAGGAAGGAAAGAAAGGAGATGGGGGGAAAAAATCAATGCATTTTACATTTAGGTAATCATTGAATGCTTCGGTCCCATTATTTCAGATGACAGCGATGGATGGTTGTACTTGGGGTTGAGTTACGGTGCAAATTTAAAATTTTTTTAAATAATAATTTATTTTATATGAAATGACGGTTAGATGATACCTCTATCCATCTATTTTTTTTCAATAAAATAATATTAATTTTCAACCATTTAATTTTAATATTTTATGCATAGAGGAAGATTGAGACCAAATCATTTCAAATTTCATATTTAAAATTTATATATTTAAAATCATTTATTTAAATAAAATATAAAAATAATTAAATTCAAAGAAAATAAAAAGTGAGAAGTGGAAAATAAAAATAAAAATTTTTTGAGAATGAGGTATTAAAGAAATTGACATTTCAATTAACTGTAAATTAATAAAAATTTTGAAATTAAAAAATATTATAAAATATAGATTTGAATTCTTTTTGGGCCAAAAAAAATATAGATTTAAATTTGATTAATGCATATATTTAATTTTTTATGTACCCAACAAACAAAACCATACCGGTGCCCCTCCCAATGCTGGATATGTGAGGAGCTCCTGATTTTGAATCATAAAATTTGTCTTGTTTCTTGTTTATTTTTAATTTATTCTATCCCGGCCATTTTTCTAGAACTGTAACATTGATTTTTTTAAAAGATTTAAATAATATTGAGATGAGATTCCCTAGAAATTAAAATTTATCATATAATTAATTGAGTATAGAAAATTTATTCAAAAAGGAGTTGAATTTTAAAGACATAATTCTAAGATATAATTCTTGAAAAAGGAGAATTTATAAGGTTAGTTGGGATTAAATAAAATGTTAAAAATAGGTCTTCATTTTAACATATTATAAACAATTTAAATTTAAATATTAGAAATAAATTTTATTTGAGCAAAATACAAGGGTTAAATGATAACATGAATTGTAGCTCTAAGAACAATTTGAACTCTAAACTCATTTCTAATGCATTTTAATCTCTAAACAATTACTCATGACGATCTGGCCTTTTCATTAATTAATAGGCTAAAGTATATATTTAGTCCTTTAACTTTACATAATATTTTATTTTAATCTCTTAACTTTATAAAGTATCTTTTAGTCCTTTAACCCTAGTATTGTTAGTTTTATTCCAACAAATTTTAATATTAAACTTTCAAATATTGACAAAACATTCTCAAATATTGACATATTAAGTTTAATATTTTTAAAATAACAATTATTGACAAAAAAAATCATTTGAAACTAATGATATTAGGATTAAAAGACTACAAACATACTTTACAAAATTAAAGAACTAAATTGAAACCTTATATAAAGTTAAAGGATTAAAAGTATAATTTAACCTTAATTTATATGTTAATGGTGGGGCGAGGAATCCACCCTCATGCTCTGAAAAGGATGTTGAAGTAGAAGACATGAACAAAGAAAGGGAGTGCTTCCACAAGTCATGCTTTAGGTTTGCTCATGTTAGGTGCCCTCTGACCCATTCGTCCTACACCACCCTGAACAACATGCTGTATTGCAAGCACCACTTTACCCAGCTCTTCATGGAGAAGAGAAATTACAACCATGCCCTCCAAGCTGCTGCTCACAATGTAATGCCAATGCCGACACTTCCCCCCCTGAATTGTGACCATCCTCAATTGTGATCGACCATCACATTGTTCTTGTTCGCCACCAGTCTCTTCACCTTCAATGTGATAGAGCCTAGGGAACTAGCAGAGAGAGTACCAATTCATCGTGAAAAAACTTGGGGAAGTGGCACGTGGCAAGAAAATTGGCTTGATTATCTATTCCACTACCAAGAATAGTGACTTAAGTTCTTAAGAAGTCCTAAACGATTTACCTCATATACTATTACAAAATATACTTTTTACTACCCTAGTTTACATTACTTTTTGTGAAAGTGAGGTAAAAATAAAGGTAGTAACAATTTTATAATAAAATTGCAAATCAAAAAAGCTATCCACGTCACTTCTGCTAAAAGTGACGTGGAAACAAAACAAGCCATGTCAATTTCCAAACAAGCGATGTAAAATTTAGGAAAATTAAGCATGATTAATTAGCCTAATGAGTGTGATTAGTGAATTGATGAAGTATGCAGCTAAAGGGATCTAATTAGTGTTTTTGGGCTTTGATTTCAACCTTAGATGTGGGTCCAGATTGAAGTCAAAAATTGCTCACTGTGCCACATGCCGCAGCATATGCACAATCCACCACGGCACATAGAGGCAGTCAGGCATGTTTTAGGCTTCCTTATGCCATACACCATAGCAAAAATCAAATAAATTTGGTTTATGTCTATTTGAAAATTCAAAAGGAAAAAGAGAAAGAAGTAGATTATGCCCTTATCTTTCTTTCTCTCCCACATTTATAAAGATTTGAATTAGGGTTTGAGTTGGGAGATTGATTTTCGGTACATAGGAGTTATGGGTCTGAACCTATTGATTAACATGGATATAATGGGACTTGTTTAAGATATTTAAACCCCACACTAATGATTTTATGTATGGTTGTTAAGGGGGATCCATTAATATGCAAAAATTGCAATTAATATGATTGTTGGGAGACTTTGAGGCTTATTAATGGTGGTTTAAAGATTTAATAGTAGTAATGTGGGTCGATGGAACCTAGTTCAGCCATTGGGTATAAATAAATAGTGAATTATGAGATTGATAGAATAAAGAATGAGGAGATTAATGTTGGTGAACTCATAAAAATGGGATTATGATGATGTCCTTGTCTTATGATTGTAGTGTGGTTCAATTTAACACCATTCAATTGAAAGTTGGTGCTTTCATTCCACAATCATAGAGTCCTTAATTTCATGAGGTTGGTCCCTATGTGACTCAACTGACAAAATAAAAGCCTAATGACTACTAGGACTAGATAATGTGGCTTGGACCAAGACGCATAACCTCTAAACAATTGCCAAACTTTGATAACAATAATTACATTGAATTTTTGCCTTGCTAAAACCTTGCTCTAATACTTAGAACAATTAAATTTAGATAATCAACTCCTCATTAAGACCTAATGGAAGTTGAATGAATCAGATAAATTAAGTAAGAAACTAGAAGAGTTTGAATTCAGCAAGTAATTACCATTAAAGCATAAACTTAAACACTTGAGGTGCACAAATTTAATGGAAAATGTAACCAAAATAATCTAATCCTCAACAAGATAAATGATATCAAATTAATTTAGTTAATCTAACTAGAGTCAATGAATTAAATTCAAAATCATAACAAGAATTATAATTCGATTTAAGCTGCAATAGAATCGAAACCAAGAGAATATGAAGCTCAAGTGAAATTTCATTATCTTGGAGAATCCTTGAAGATTTAGCCTTTCATTTCACTCTCCATAGCTACTGACTGAAGGAGAGGTCCATGAGAAATTGCCTTGAACGAGCTGAACCGTGAGACTGGAATCTGGACTGAGAGGTATATGTGTGCGAGAGCTGAGAGCTGAAGAGCGATCGCGTGTGGGGGACTGATGAGCGAGAGATGAGTGTCTGCAAGATGATTGAGCTCTAACCGAGAGGAGAAATAGAGCTGAGCAATGCGTGTGATGAGCTGAACTCTAGGGAAGCAATGCAGTGGCTGTGCTATGGTGTGCGTGATCTCTGATGGCCGAACTGTGTGATGACTCTGTGAGCGTCGAACAAGCCAGAGATGAACTGAGAAAGATAAGCGATCCTGTGCCACGAACTCATACAGCAGAGAGAAGAAGTTGAGATGAGCGATGGCACGTCGGACTCAAACTGAGAGGCTATAATGGAGATGAGATGTGTCCGGTAGTGCGACTCTAGGAAGATGATTAATGGCCGAACTCCGAGTGTGATTGCGTGTGCGTGATTCCAAATCCCAGCTCTCACGTTCTCGTCGTTCACATCTGTTTCTTCTCCTCCCCATTCCAGTTCTACCTTTCTCCTTTTCAAAATTTTAAAAAAAATAGAAAATCACCATATTTAGCCCACAACTTTCTTCAAACACAAAACAAAACAAAACAAAAATCAATGTTATTTAATTAAACTAACTAAAGTCCTAAAAATGAGAATAAAAATTGCCCAATAATAAAATGTGTCAAGGAATTGAAATTCTAAATTAAAAAGAATTAATTCCAATAAATTGTGTAAAATGACCAAAATGCCCCTAATGCCAAAACTCAATGCAAATGAGATGAAAATCAAATCTAATGCTAAAACCATGAATATAAAGGTCTAAACCAATAAAATATGGTCACAAATGTAAAAGAAAAGTGTGCAAAATATGTGATTTATCAGTACTTAAATGGATAAACATTTGACCTCTCAAAGGTTTGAGATAACTGAAGGAAACCTAATTTATATAGTTGAATGTTAATTGGTTATTTATGTAACATAGTTGATATTTTGAACTATTGATGCAATTTGGCAATGTAATGAACTTGCAAAATAATTTTGGAAATGTTAACCTCTTTCATGCCACATGTTATGATTAATGATTTTGTTTTATGGCATGTTGGGGTGTATTTGATAAAATGTGATATTTTGAAATGCACTATATATGGTATATTGGATGCGGAATTTATTAAGAGTGAGAAATCGATGTGAATTTGTGATGGGATTGTGAATTGGGTCACGTTTGTATAGTATATGTGACATGTGCATAGCATGATCATTGGTGAGAGTTTGCCTAGGGAGAGGAGTAGTTGGTAAATCCACATACAATTGGCAATGATTGTTGGAATTGAGAACTTGTCTTGGCACCGATCATTGGAATTAGGAGGTAAGCCATGTCCCATGGTTGATTCAAAATTGTCCCACTTGTTCTACGAGAGACTCAAACCTACCTAATCTCTACCAGTTCATGAGGAGACTAGATTACACAAGTAAGTAAGTTGACTCTGGCTCGATAGCTCCTCATAAGTAAAAGGTTGGGTTAGTTC